CGGAGCGGTTTGGAGGTTATGGGTGTTCATAGCTTTAGTGAAAATATCTCCGAAACTCTTTGAATGGACGGGATTTCAAATTATTGATCCATCGGTTCAGAAGTTTTTCATTACAGCCGTAAGTGATAGAAATAGACTTAAAAATGTTGGGTTTGTTTAATGAAATGATTACTGATTTCAGATCACATCCATTGTCTCGAGACGTAAGTCAGAGAAAGTGCGACAAAGAGATTATCTTCAGCTCATGATTGACGCCCAGAACCGCATGAATACAAATCATGAAGAACTGGATATCGACGACTTGGATGAAGAGATTTATGGCAAAATACAGACCACGGAAACATTAGATATTAATAATTCAAACAAATCAAAGAGCACTGGTATGTCTGATACAGACCTTATAGCCAATAGTTTTCTATTTCTTATGGCCGCATACGAAACTTCGGGTACTTTGCTTTCATTTTTATTCTACAATCTGGCGGTCAATGAGAAGTGTCAGCAAAAGCTGTACGAAGAAGTGAATGGTTTGGACGGAAAGTATGATTACGAGAGTGTCTCCAAAATGCCGTATTTGGAGGCATGTATTGCCGAAACACTTCGACTCCAACCTCCACTTCCGGTCACTCATAGGCACGCGTCTCAAGAATATATTCTCGGTAATATACTTACAATACCCAAGGGGATGATGGTCATTTTTGATATCTATGCCCTCCATCACAATTCCGAGTACTACCCAAACCCAGAGGTCTGGGATCCCGAGAGGTTTATGCCGGAGAATAGGGACCAATTGACTCCATACACGTATATGCCGTTCGGGACGGGACCCCGAAATTGTGTGGGAATGAGGTTTGCATTAATGGAGGCCAAGACAGCCGTCGCCCATTTGGTCCATAAGTATAGGTTTAAGAGGACAAACAATACTACAGTTCCCCTGAAACTTAAAAAGTTTGAGTATATTTTAAACGCCGGTGACATCAATATTGGAGTAGAAATTAGAAATAAATAAATAAATTGTAATTCAATTTGATGGAAAAAGTTTTTTTGTTTCATATATTGTATAATAGTCAAATAGTGTAGTACCGTATTTAAAATGAAAAAGTCCTCATATCATAAGTATTATTCTTATAATGTTTATTATTACAGTATTTTGTATGAATAGCAAGTATTAAAAGTTACTTAATACAGTATACATTTTAATAATAAAGTTTTTAATTCAGTGTAATGTAACCTCTTATAATTTTATGATAACAATTATTTTTTCTTTAATGTTAAAATTGTAAGTTCTTGTTATCTATTAATATGCAGCAGTCATACGGCTTCATACGAAAAAGCGTCAAAAGTTTTAATTCTAAATACCCTGATGCTTTGAAAATAATTTATGGGTTTTAAACCTTATGAATAAAATATTATATTTGATTAAAATAAATTTAAATATTTATTACATAATTTTTCTTATATAATAATATAAACATAATATATTATTTTACATAATATAAACATAATAATGATACAAGTGTGAATTTTTAAATGTGATAAGCACATTGAAAATATTGATTTTTAAATTTGTCATTAGTACAACAAATATTTTCCATGTTAATATTAACAATGCTATATTGATCCAGATATATTACATCGCGAAGCTCATATAATATTAGCAGTATTTCTATTAAAAAATAATTAATTTCTAAATAAAAATATATGTGAATACAGTTCAAATAATATAAATAGTATAAAT